TATGGAACCCGAAGGTTCATTAGGGTGTTCACAAGAGCCCTCCACTGGTCCCTATCCTGAGCCAGATCTATCCAATCCATACCATCCCATCGTATCTCTCTAAGATCCATTCTAATATTGTCCACCCACCTATGCCTTGATCTTCTCTGTGGTCTCTTTCCTTCTGGCTTTCCCACCAATATCCCATACACATTCCTCGTCTCCCCCATTTGTGCTACATGACCTAATAATAACATTTCACTATCCAACTAATTTATGCTTGTGTTTCCCTTCATAAAAATGTCATTGTTTGGTTAACTTTCCCTAATGAAATTAGAATGACATCCATCCTCCTGCAGTGCACAATATTTACTTGACTGCTCTTATTTAATGTCCGCTAAGCGGCCTCCGTAATCTAGAGGTAACGTTCCCACCTCATGACTCGTGGTACGCGGGTTCAAATACCCGGCGGAGGTCGTCGAATTTTTAAGGGCGGAAAAATTCAGGGAACAAGTCCTCCGGGAGGGACTTTAAGCTGTGTGTTTCCCGCCCAACAACAGTCTCTAAGGCCTCTGATAGATGGGGGAAGCATTATAGACACCGCTAAGCAAGTGGCCGAACTCGCTTGCTCGACGGGACAGATGGTACGCACCATTTATCGGTAGGGTAAAGAGACTGGTAGAATATCATAGAGGGAAGCACAATAGATCAAACTGGTCGCGGTGCATGGGGAAACTCACCCTCTCTAAATAACTAACTAACTAACGTCCGCTAATGAGGTTGACAGCAGCATAAGTCACAGCGTTTCAAGTGTGTGTTAGGGTGAATAACTTGGAGTCTCGATCTTCTCTGTCAATTTCTCTGTTACTTCGTTAATCTGCAAATGCAACAACCTGTTATGTTTCTCTTGTACTTCTGTTAATGAGGATGTTTACAATAACTATATCTCAGGCAATTAAAATATAATTTTGACCTACTGTTTACATCTACATGTTTCTTAATATTTAGTTATTTTAAATTGTTCACATTAGAAAAGCCAATGTTCAGATTCACACATTTGATGAGTGAATAACAAAAACATTTATGCTGCTTGTTATTGAATATAAATATATCAGTGACATTGCTTCTTGTGTGACTGCCACAATATTTGATTTGCCTGTTTCAGGTGTCTGTCATAATTTCTAATATCGTACATCTAGATTGTAACAACTGACTTACATCAGAGAAGTTGGGTAATTTGTCTGATGCTGATTTTATTTCCAGAAATGCAGAGAAGTGGAGTTGTTAAGATATCAAATATACCAGGGCAGTGTTCCCGGAAAATGTGTGCTGGCCGAGAGCTTGATGTATCTCACAGTTATGTTCAATAACCCTCTTATGGCTGCAGCCAATTCTTCCATTAACCTATTTATCTATGATGCCACAGCCCTTTGTTGGGCCTTGGCTGGCTTTTCAGTTTCTTGACCTTTTACACAGTCAGTAGGACTCCCTGGACGGGGTATCAGCCGGTCACAAGGCTGCCAACTGCAAACAGGACATCACAAGCATGGAATAAATGCACAGACATCTATGCCTCAAGTGAGACTTGAACCCATGATCCCAGTGTTTAAGTGGGAGAAGAGAGTTCACGCCGTATACCGTGCAGTGACTGTGACTGGCCGCCCACTAACCTAGGTATGATTTTACAGATGGCGCGTAAATCCAAAATCGTGTAGTCAGATGTTCTCTTGAAAATCTCTCAAATCGCCCATAAGTACGTTCTTTTTTATATACCCCCTACAATATGTATATTATATTATATACCATATGTATATAATGTATAAAATAAAGGGTATGTATACAAAATATGTATAGTAATTTTATTCCTAACCACATATTTGTGAGCCATGTTTGAGACCTACATATTTTCTTCCAATAAGCCCAACACAGCCAGTTTTTCCTGCAGCTTTACAACAGATTGCTGTTTCTTTGGCTGAGCACCAGAAAAAGCAATTGGCTTGCATCTGGGGACCATATAGTATGAGAAATACTTACATCTAAATTTTTATTTTTCTATTTGTGTGCATGTATTGGTTGTGTATGAGCCCATATACAGGATGGGGCGCAGAAACTTCCTTTTTGTGAAGACACATTGTGAAGGGAGGGGAGGTAGCAGAAAAGTGGGGATAGGCTCGGCGAATGCAGCAGTCGCGGAAGTTTCTGTCTAATACCCCTCAGTAGGAAACATGAGGTGGATGAGTGAGCAGTGTGCGTTTGCTGTTGAAGCCTATTTTTTGAACAACCATTCCTACGTGGCGGTGCAGCCTGCGTTCCGTGCTCACTTCGGAATTAAGCCCAGAGGTCTGGTTCCCGACAGGAAATCGATTTTGTGGGTAGAGAACTTTAGGACAACCGGGAGTGTGGTGAAAAAATCATGAGGATGACAACGGACCGTTACGACGCCAGAAAATGTGGAGGCAGTTTGACAGTCGATTTTGAGATCTCCAAGACGCTCCGCTCGCAAACATGCAGTCGCCCTACACATATCCAATGCGCCGAATTTTTCATGAACATCTTAATTTCCATCCCTATAAGATGTTTGTTGTGCAAGAATTGTCACCACGTGATTTCCAGAACTGAATAACGGCATGCGAAAATTTTGGAAACTTTACCCCCTGATGCACTTTTTTTCTTTAGTGATGAGGCACATTTTCACCTATCCGGATATGTCAAGAAGCAGAATATGCGCTATTGCAGTGGTAACAATCCCAGAGAGCTCCATGAGAGGCCACTTCACAGTGATAAGGTGACAGTATGGTGTGCGTTGTCGAGAGTTGGAGTTATTGGCCCTTATTTTTTTGAAGAAGACAATGATGCAGTTACTGTCAATTCACAGCAGTATGAGGATATGATTAAAAACTTTTTTGAACCAGCTCTTGAAGAAATGCATCACGAAAATGTCTGGTTCCAAAAGGACGGTGCCACGGCCCACACACCCCGAGCTTCGATGACGGTTTTCAGGGCAAAGTTCCCCGGATGGCTCACCTCGTTTCAAGGTGACATCCCATGGGCAGCGCACTCACCTGATGTAACGCCCTGTAATTTTTTTATGGGGATACCTCAAGGCAGAGGTTTTTAAACATTGCCCCCCAAACCTCAGCTGAAGAATGTTATTCGGCAGGAAGTAGCCCAAATTCTGGTGGACGTGTTGGAATGTGCAGAGGGGAACTTCAGAAAACGGTTGCATCAGTGCATAGAGAACAGTGGCCACCACCTTCAAGATATTTTGTTTAAAACTACATGATTTAAAACTTTAAAGTATGTTCTTTCATTAGCTAAACATAAATTTTGTCTATCAGCAATAATTTTTCTTTTATTCGCCTTCAAAAAATGAAGTTTCTGTGCCCCACCCTGTAGTTGAATTCACCTAACTGTACATCAGTCCAGGATTTTCTGACTACATGTTAATTTTTGTACTTACATCCATAGTCATATGAAACCTGAGAAACAGACTACTCACAACAATGGATCAGCATCGCCTTACAAAACTTGTACTCACACAGCCTGAATAATGAAATTTTTGCATGGCTTCAAATGAAGTAGCTTTGTGGTTTGGTGCATGGATGTTTTTAATACACCAGATGTTGAAATAATCACATTAATTTTGTGTGAGCATCCTTTTTAAGAAGCTCCAATATTATCTAGTGTTTCTTCTGTAATGGGGGGCACACAGTAGCGTAGTTGGTTAAGGCACTATGCTACAAGCCAGAAGGACGCAGGATCGAATCCCAATGAGGTCACTGGATGTTTTTAAATTTACCTAATCCTTCCAGTCGCACTACGGCCCTGGGGTCGACTCAGCCTCTAATGGAAATTAGTACCAGGAATATTCTTGGGGGTAAAGGGTGGCCAGTGCGTAGGCCTGACAACCTTACCGCTATCTATGAGCCGATTGTCTAGAAAATGTGGGAACCTCAACATCTCACGACCCTCGGGCCTCCACGGCCTGTTACAGGGATACCTTTACTTTATTTACTTCTTCTGTAATGAAACGTTGCATTTTACTTAATTCATTTTCTAATTAGAAAGTTACTGTTTGAAATACACTACAGCTTTCGAAGGAGCTAAACACCGGGAAATTTTCTTCCAAGGCTTCTATTACATTATTTAATAGGTTCCTACCTAATACTGTGATATGACCACCTGAGACCCAGAATAATGGAGCCAAAAGAAATCGTTTGTTGTGTGGTAATGGCCACTAAACAACTTGTGACAACTGGCTTCCGTGGGAATAGATGCGAATGCAACAATAAAGGAGCTGTTGGAAATGGTGTTCTGTATTAGGTCCGACCTGATGAGAGGCAGGTGAGTGTCAGTCACCATCATGAGCAGTTGCAGCCATGAGTTTGGTGTGTGTCTGGCTACAGCATAAGCAGCAGAGGACACTGTAGCGATCTGTTATCAGGCAATAACTGGGAAGACACACCATGTGTAGTAGTGAGAAGTAAACTGTATGCACTGGTGACAGCTTTATAATTACTTCCACTTATGGTTCATATGCATTCATTAAAGGGGAGAAGAGGAATGCATAAAGGATTTTGGTGGGGAAGCCAGAAGGAAAAAAACCATTATGAAGAGTAAGACGTAACTCAATGAACGAAGTTAAAAGGGATCTTAAGATAGGCCGGATGGGGTGGTACAGATTGGGTTGATCTGGACCAGGAGAATGACAAGTGGAGGGCTTTTGTGAATAAGGTAATGAACCTTCGGATCCCATAAAATGTTGGCAAGTTCTTGAGTAGCTGCATAATTGGCGGCTTCTCAAGAAGGGCTAAGCTCCAGGACGTTAGTTAGTTAGTGTTCAATAAATCCAATTACTAATCCAAACCCCATGTCTAGTCACTAAATATGTGACAACATGTTTCAACAGTGAATTCTCTATCCACTATACTGTACCTCATCTTAAGTAATAACTATTTACAAGTAAAACTACAATATTGGAGTGGAAAATTTAAGTGGGAAGTGATTCAATGATGACTGAATAATCAACAACTATTGTTTGATGTATTTTGCGATAAATGACATACTAGACCATGCTGTATTTTATAAACTGAACATTTTTCCATTATAAGACTGTAAAATATTTAAAACATATATTCTCAATACAACGGTAGCAGCAATAAAAAAGTGCCATTGGGCTTCAGAAATTTAAAGTGTATGGATGGAACATTATCAATTCATGCACAGAACACCATTAAACAAAAATAATAAATTGTAACTTTCATTCAATGTTTAAATTGTCTTTCATCTATATGACTGTATCTTTTAATAAATTCCGAGCCCAGATGAGGGAGATCATCTTTACGAAGGACACCAGGAGGTAAGTAGTCAATAACCTTGCTTGCATGTTCTTTCAGCATGCGTAAGCGTTCTTCCTCGATCACACGTTTCCTGGAAAAAGAAACAGATATGTCATATTTAAAGTTGGTTTCCTTGTTTGTAACTCCTTTCACTGCAACTGGAAAGAAATTCATGGTGTGCAGAAACACTTCTTCCCTACATAGTGGCATACATTTTTTTGTTTGAAAAATTTATATTAAAAAGTTTTGTATAGAAGTTGGATTTCAGAGCTAACAACAGCTATGTTAACAAATTTTAAAATTCGCTTAGTGGGGGGTGGAGTCCAGCTGGGTCCACTCGGCACGGCGGTCACTGATTGGCATATTGTACCTGCCCTGGGTGATTATATGATGGAGAGTTTGGTAGAATGAAGATTGGCAGGGGAAGCTTAAGTGCTTGGAGAAAACCTGCCCCAATGCCACTTTGTCCACCACAAATCCCACTTAACCAGACACGGGATAGAACCTGGCCTGCTGTGGTGGGAAGCCAGTGACTAACCACTTGAGCTATGGTGTGGCCTTAGAGTTTTATGTTTCTCAAGGACTGAACAGAAGCATGAGTGTAGATGAACACCAATCAATTTAAAATTAATGTTGTCCTAATGTCAGGAAAAACTTCAGTTTTGCGATCAGACTTGTGAGTTACTGTAGCAACAAATTTTTGCACCTGTTTTGCTGCGCTGCATAAAAGTATGGCTACATCTATAGTACATAAATAATGAGTTAAAAATATTTTCTTCCAGGTTACTGTTTCTGTTCTCCGAGTATTGACACTACATGCATGTAGTTAGTATTTATCACAGAAGGTGAATTAATTTATAATAATTAGGAAGATTAATTTTACTTGGTCCATCACACTAGCAATTGTACATAAGGTCTTTAACCACCGTCCAGTGTGACTGATAGAAGTTGCGTATTTTAATTATTCATCCTTGACATGTTTTGGTCAAAAAGAATATCTTCAGAAGGATATTATCAANATTACAAATTATTTACAAAGCAGAGTTCAATATTTGTTTTAATATAGGACACGAACCAAATTGTTCCCAGATTAAAACAAATATTGGACACTACTTTGTAAACAGACTATTTGTAATAATTTTTAGATGTTGTAATAAATCAATGTACATCTTAGTATTAATTAAAAGATATAATATTTATATCTATGACATGGTAATAGTACGATGGGAAATCATAATGTATTAATTATCACCATGAGAAAATCATAATTTAAAATATTGTTCTATATAGGAGATAGCCCATTTCCTGAGCTTACCAAATAGTCAAATTTTCCCATGCCAAGTGGAGGCTCATGCTGTGATATGGTTCCTGCATTTGCAAGGGAAATCTGCCAGGCAGACCCACGACCAGATGACCGCTGTGCATCAGGAAGGTGTACCCATATATGACAGTGGTCAGGTGGAAGAGGCGCTTTCATTGTGGACAGACAAACCTTGAAGATAAACTCCGAAGTGGAAGACCATCTCTCGCTGAGGAACTGGGAATTGTGGCACAAGTGGAAACTTTGATCCTATCCAATAGGTGCATAACTATTGAAGCATTAGCCATGGGTCGGTTTCCAACATCATCCACGATGAGTTACACATTACAAAGGTCGCTGCAAGTTTGGTGCCACGATTGTTGACACCAGTTCAAAAATAGCAATGAATGGAAGTGGCAAAGAAACTTTTGCAGTTGTGTCAAGACAAAAAGGTGGAATTTCTCAACTGCCTGATCACGATGGATGAATGTTGGGTCTATCATTATGACCCTGAAACAAAGGAAATAAGCAAGCAGTTGAAACATGCAGACTCGCCGCCACCAAAGAAGGCCAAATCCCAGCCGTCATCAGGAAAGGTGATGTTGAGTGTGTCTTGGGGTCGGCGGGGTGTCATCATGACTGACTATGCACAAAAGGGCGTCACCATCACTGGCGAGTACTACCGGAACCTTCTGAGAAAATTATGGGAGGAAACCAAGAAAAAGTGACGCGGAATGCTGGGAAAAGGTGTGCGACTTCTTCACAACAATGCACATGCTCATGCTATGACGACGCTTGCTGCCAGTTTGGGATATGAAATTCTCCCCCATCCACCATATTCACCAGACCTGGCGCTGAGCAACTTCCTCCTCTTTCCACAGCTAAAGAAGCCACTTTGTGGTAAGCGATTCCAAGATGATGACGTCATTTCTGCAGCAGAGGATTTCCTAAAGATTCAGAATGAGACCTTGCATGATGGAGGTATCCAGCAGCTAATGCATCATTGGGGAAAATGTGTGGCCTTGCAGGGGGCATATGTAGAGAAGGACTGACGCACATACAGTTTCTTGCGCCTGTGTCTCTGTTTCTTCTGGGTGTTAATTAAAATTTTATGACTTCCCCATGTAGTTTCCATATGTGTTGATAATATTCTTCTGAAGATGGTCTTTTTGACCAAAACACGTAAATGACGAAAAATTAAAATACACAACTTTTATCAATCACACTGGACAGTGGTTAAAAATCTTATATACAATTAGGAAGATTTTTTT